CACACACCACACACACACACACCACACACACACACACACGCATATATATATGCATAAATATATGTATATATATATATATAGAGAGATAGAGAGAGAGAGAGAGAGAGAGAGAGGGAGAGGGAAAGAGAGAGCAGCAGAGAGAGGAAGGGAGGGAGGGAGGGAGGGAGGGAGGGAGGGAGAGGAAGAGGGAGAGGAAGAGGAAGAGGGAGAGGAAGAGAGAGAAGAGGGAGAGGAAGAGAGAGAGAGAGAGAGAGAGAGAGAGAGAGAGAGAGAGAGAGAGAGAGAGAGAGAGAGAGAGAGAGAGAGAGAGAGAGAGAGAGAGAGAGAGACAGACAGACAGAGAGTAATAATACAGATATGGACAGGAATCAGGAGTGGATGAGGGAGTCATGGACGAGGACAGCTGAGAAAGAGAGGGAGAGAGGGAGAGAGGGAGAAAGGAGAAAATTATATATATACATACACACATACACACAAATCTCAAATAATATAATACTTAACTAATAAGTATGCTTGAAAAACACTTAGGTTGCCTTTGCAATTTAAATCCTAAGTAACTACTTTTATTCTTCTTAATGATACAATAATCATGGTATAGTGTAGGATAATACCAATATATGAAACTCAAAAAAGCAACTGGTCAACTATACAACATTTTTTTCTTATATATATTGGCTTAATGTTTTAGAAGTATTTGTTGCTCTCTCTTCAGAATATTTCACTGAATGTTACATATTTCCATTAATGTTTATTCCTGTGCTTTGAAGAGCCAGGGCAGTATTCATGAAAGGTCACAGACTCCTGGATTTATCAATCAGAGAGAGAAAAAAAAAAAGCTTTTGATTGCTATTTTGTCAATGTTTCCTTATGAAAATATCTGACACTCTCCCTCTCTTTCTCTTTCTCACCCACTCCCTCTTTTCCTTCCTCACCATCTCCTACACCTTTTCTCCCTTTTTGATGCTCCTTTGGCTTGATCTTGTAACACCTAACAATCATTTTTCAACAATTAGTACTCTTGAGTCGCCTACTTTTTCTTCACCAACCAATCCTTAACCCACTATCTCCTTTTCCATTTCTTTTACAATGACAGCCTGAGATTGCTCCAATAGCTGATTCTAAATTCTCTTCAATGAATGCATAGGCTATGTCCACACACTACAGCCTCTCTGCAAAACTGAAGTAGATTGGAAGGTGTGATCGACCTTTAGTCTTTAGACCGAGTCATGCACAAAGTCTACAACAATCTTGGAGTTCAGAAAGTCCTTAAGTTTGTCAAAGAGCATTTATGAATACTGGCACAGGTTTTTTTCATGACTTGGAAGCCAAAAATGTGCAGTTCATGGTCACCTACATCCTTGTAAAGAAGCATTGAAAATCATTGTACAATACCCATTTCATTATTATGATAAAATAATATCCCATCTTGCCTACCAGTTCCAAATAACTTTGAATTTTCCACTTTTACCAAAGGCAGATTTGTTTGTTACTATTTCATGTCTAGTGCTGAATATGCCAAACAGTCACTTACTAGTGAAGGATTAAAAATAGAACTTATGGAAATTATATCTAACACTATCAATATATATATTTATCATACTCTACATACTTCTATGAATGTGTAGATTGAATGGATTAATAGATTTAATGAATTTAGACATAATGGCCAGATTAACTCAGCCAAAATAGGTAGCAACTATATAAACTAAGAGGAGGGGTTCTGTGGGGAGGGGGCAAGGCATGAGGTGGTGGTCTAGAGGTCTCTGATGGCTTGGAGGGCTGAAGGCATGATTTTTTAACTTTTACAAAGCTAAATATTAATCTACTGCATTTGAAGAATGTATATTTTTCATTGTCATATATAAATATCATTTTCACATCATATAAATCAATAAAATGTGGCTTTAGATGTATATGAAATAATCTAAATGAATTAACAGTAAAAAAGACAATGATATAAGAGGAGATAACTCATACATAGCAGTGTTGTGTATGAAGGGAAAACATGGGAGGAGGAAAAGATTTGGGGTGTTAAATATGCCACAGTACCTGATTTACTACTTCACACTCATTATGTTTAATCTACATAAAGATGGCAGGAAAACACAACTGTGATTGGTTCTGGAAGGGGAGGCCTACAAGGAGAATAATGGCATGAGGGGTGATACGGCTAATGGAAACTTGCCAAACAGTACTAGATATATTAGTGGACACACACATATATCAAATACCTTAATCCAACTATAATTCAAATGATTACTGATGTATATTAAAATACCTTTATATCTCTTGCACTTCAGAGTATATACATCATTTGCCTCTCACTGTGACTATTTTTATGACAAAATGGCAAAACCCTGTGAAATGATACAGAGAATTCTGTAGAATACACTGAATAATTTATACACTCCACTTTCCTTTGTCAGTTTACCGGATTCCTTGATTTTTGGAACAGTTATATAAATAATAGTACTAATACATACATATATACATACATATTATTATTGTTATTATCCTGTGGTGCCCATGCAGTCCAGCACAAGGCTTGCTTTGGTACAGTCATCACTAGGTTAACCCATTGGATCCAGGTGCCTCAAGGTTTGCATGTGGAAAAAAATTTGGACCTTACAATTACTTAAGAGGTGATATAAACACTCACAGGTGGTATCCAGACTCCTTGCGTCCTCTTTGCAATGATATTAATTCTTTCAACATACATTCCCTTCCCCCGCCCGCTATTTTGAAATTTTCCAAGGTCTACATTTGTCATTCTCTCTAGGTCATGCCTCATGGATGGCATATTCCACCCTTATTTACTGGTGGAACTAATGCAAGAACCACATCTTAAAGGACCACTGAGTTCTCATCACCCTGTACAACTGCCAAGTCTGTCCTAGGCCCTATCCTGCCATACATACAAAATGGATTCATTGTTGTACTGAGCGAGGGTTAGGGGGCATCAGCTCCCTGAATTTGACTATGTATTGACCAATTCTCTGTATATTATTCATATTTTATCCTGCAGTTTTCCTGGTACCACTCATGCCCTTCCTTGCTCTTGGGGCCAAGATCATGGGGGTTACCGTGGCATCTATATGGGTAACAGAGAGTGAGATCGATCATGCAAAGCTATTTGGAATATTTACTATAATAATAATAATAATAATAATAATAGACTAAAAATAATAAAAACAATAATAAGGATGATGATAAAGATATCAATAAATATAATATTATCACAATTATATTAATTACAATTATAATAATTATAACAATAATGGTAACACTTAAGTTTTACACAGCCATCCAACCTTGCAATTATTATTCCTTGTTTCAATTATGCACATTGCAATGGTGCATTAATCACAAATGACATAAATAAGTTTTGATAACTGTTTATGGAGAGACCGCATTTCTCCTGGGAAGTCTAAAAACATTGCTAAAAGTTCCAAACCCTAGAGCTTTGACCCAGACCCCACCTGAATGAGGTATTTCACTATTGGGGGCTCTGCCTCTGGACCCCCACCCAACTGCTGTAGACATACTCTCCACGCAGCATTTCTCGCAACCTATTTTTGTCATTTCTGACATCATTCTTTACCTGTGCAGATTACTTTAGCCCACTGCGGATGGGCATGCCATGCCATGACCACTGTGAGTTTACTTGTTTAATTATTTTTACACATAGATATATATATATAGAGTGTGTGTGTGTGTGTGTGTTCCTATCCTTGCCCCATTCTTAACCTATCTATCTATCTACCTCCCTTCTTATCTAATTACTCCTTTCACACTCCCCCTTTCTCCTAATTCTTTGCTCTCTCTCTCCTCTTTTTCCTTATCTATCTCTATATCTATCACACTACCTCTCCCCTCACTCCCTCTCTCTCTACCTATCACATTACCTCATCTCCCATCTCTCCCATTCTCTTACTCTACCTTATCCCTCTCCCTCTCTTATATTTTCTCCTCCCTGCTCCCAATCTATCTCAAATGTAAGCTTGGTCCGGCTCTGAAAGTATTACTACAAACAATCATATATTTGTTTCTCCTGTACAGCAAAACTACAAACAAGTAACCTTTTATCAATCTTTTATTATATCAGTAAACAAATAACATAAAAACAAATATATCTAGTACTGTTAAATTCACTTCTTTACTCGGGCTTGTAATACCCGAGGAATTTCATAGTAAAGTGTAGCATCGTTTCCAGAGGAGTGCCCATCTCCTTCCCTTCCACATGGCACCGTTCTAATAATACTATGAAACTTTACTAAAGCAAGTTAATCTGTTTCCTGGATAAAAATAAACTACAAATAAAGATACTGTGTATATCAACTCGAATAGTTTACTAATACCTGCCAATCAGGTAAGCAGAATCAACAAAACCTACTTATTTAACAATGGCAATAATAACATAATTGTGTAATCAAGAATACAATCACAGATTGCAACAATACCTTTCACTCTGCTTAAAAGCTCAGTTTGTAGAAATTTCTTCAGCACTATTAATTCACTTAAATTCTGTAATATTCCATGTATATAACTTTTTTTTTTTTGTATATACATAAATTAATATATATAAAGGTATTAGTTATACCACTTTTCTTAAAGCAATATCAAATAAGAGCATGACTTGTTCCTAAAAGTGAATGTCTCAACCACAGACCTAGGGGAAAAAACTCTCTCTTTAACCAAACATAACAGACAAAAATTGCAATAAGGAATTAATCACGAATCCACTCAAAGGTTAAATAATATCGCAGTGAAATGTACATGAAAAAGAGAGCACTAGAGAAATCAACAAATACACAATATAAGGACCTTGGTTCCGAGCGAGAAACTGACACGTACAAGACGACAGCGTTACTATATACTATGCGGCCCACGAACCGAAAAAATAAAGACGTATATCACTCATGGTCACTCAAAACCCACGATAAAAGAACAGGAAGTGTCTCACCATACATAAACTAGTACAGACACCCACTGACACGTACCCGCATCCGCACTTCATAGTCTGTGTATCTCTTATTGCCAACGCCGTGAGTGATGGGATTGACAACATCTATCTCTAAAAAGTTGGCAGGAGCTGCATAAGCATCATCCAAGGTCTGCTTCTTGGAGACGAGGCGGCGAGTGGAGTCGTTGGTCACGTCTGCCATGGTTAGTGGTCGCCTTCTGAGCCTTCTGTGTCCACCTCTACGTTCCTCGGCCTCCCGTGTCCACCCACTGTCATGAATGCCATTGGGTGCATGAG